GGGTTATAAAAATGACGATATTTGCCAATGTGTTTTCATAAAGAAAACAAATATTGGATTTGCAATTGTGGCAGTTTATGTTGATGATTTAAATTTAATTGGAGCTCCTGAAAAGCTCAACAAAACTGCAGATTATTTGAGAAATGAATTTGAGATGAAAGATTTGGAGAAAACCAAATTTTGTCTTGGATTACAAATTGAACATTTTTCGGAGGGATTATTTGTTCATCAATCTACTTATATAGAAAAAGTCTTGAAACGCTTTTATATGGATAATGCACATCCATTGCCATCACCTATGGTTGTTCGATCACTTGATGTGAAAAAAGATTAATTTCGTTCACTTGAAGATGGAGAAAAGATTCTTGGTCTTGAAGTACCATACCTTAGTGTAATTGGAGCATTAACTTATCTTGCAAATCGCACTCGACCTGACATAGCTTTTTCTATAAATCTCTTTGCAAGATATAGCTCTACACCAACTTAAAGGCATTGGAATGGTGTTAAACATATTTTTCGTTGCCTAAAAGGTACTATTGATATGAGACTATTTTATTCTCAAAAGTTAGGATGTGCTTTAGTGGGATATGCAGATGTAGATTATCTCTCCGATCCACATAAAGCTAAATCACAAACAGGATATGTGTTTACACGTGGAGGAACAGCTATATCATGGAGATCTGTGAAGCAATCATTGACAGCAACATCTTCAAATCATTCTGAGATTATTGCAATCCATGAAGCAGGGCGAGAATGTGTATGGTTGAGGAATATGACCCATCATATCCAATCATCATGTGGATTGACTTCAACAAAAGATAGTCCAACAATTTTGTTTGAAGATAATGCAGCTTATATCGCACAACTCAAGGGAGGCTATATCAAAGGCTACAGGACAAAGTATATTTCTCCAAAATTCTTTCATACACATGAACTTCAGAAGAATGGTGACATTGATATTCAACAAATTCGCTCAAGTGACAATGTGGCTGATCTATTCACAAAAGCGCTACCAACATCTATATTCAAGAAATTAGTTCACGAGATTGGAATGCATCGACTCAAAGATTTTCAGTGATCAACATCAGGGGGAGTAGCTGTACTCTTTTTCCTTCGCTTAGGTTTTCCTAGCAAGGTTTTAATGAGACAGCATTTAATTTTAATACTCCAAAATAACTGTACTCTTTTTCCTTCGTTTGATTTTTTTTTCCATTGGATTTTTATCAAACAAGGTTTTAACGAGGCAGATATTTTATAATATATCGTTCAAGGGGGAGTGTTGTAAATGAAAAGTACATTAAAGTTTATTGGTGAATGACATTTGTACCCCTGTAACCCTAGAAATTATTACCATTGTATCCCTGATTCTTACCTATAAATATAGGACTTTGATTTTCAATAATACACACAAAAGTTTATTGAGTTTTTTCTATTCTCTTTGAGTTTTCTCTATTCTCTTTTCCTCTCATTTTATAACATAAAGCTAAATTTAGTCTGTATGAATAATAGTCCTAAAATAAAGTTCGGATCTAATGGGACCACTTCAATATTATTGGGCTTGGCTTATGTCTTATCTCGAGTATAAAGATGGGTGTTCAAGGAATACTAAATGACTGGTGGGCCAGTCAACTTCAATTGCACTTTATTTCAATAAATAATTTTGCATATTACTTTTCGCAAGTGATTACACAAGTGTACTGATCGTCAAAAAAAAAATGAATTTACTATATCCAAGTATCGTCTCAGAAAACTACTATTTACCATAAATTTTTGGAGTAACCTAACAAGAATTTAAATTACATTGTTAACCAAATAGCAATTCAGGATTTTAATTTGTTACTAAAGTTACATTAAATTACCAAGATAATCCACTTATATACGGTTGAAACAATAAGGTCAATAAGCTACTTAGATTGTTTAACATTTATCTATTCCAATTCATTCCACCACTTTCATATTTGTCACAATCGAATTAGCTTATTGTAGCTAGTGATCTCTCTTGAACAGCACTATTCCTATTCATATCCTCAAATTTACTATATCTTTATGTGAATCCATGTACATATGAATGCATTAACCTTTATTTATATCATGATTATTTATAATACCTATATTATTTATTGCACGAGCTAGATTAATACATCATCACTTGATATCAAATTTGTCCTGAATCAATCAATTGTGGCACAAGTGTAGCGATCGAGAAAAAAATTCATGTGTTTTTTCAAAAGCAACTTTCTTGTAGAACTCAAAAATAATTTGGGTTATATTACTACTTCGCTACGACACTTCGTAAGAGTCCATTTTTTTTAGCGCTTCGAGTTCCAAGAATTTGAATCGTTACAACAAGCAATAGAAAGTAATAAATACAAAATAAATATTCACCCCAATCCCGACTTTTCTCCTAACATAATCCGAAAACACAAATACTTAAATATCAAGTTCATAATAATACTTTCAAAAGTTACTTTTCGTAGCTTAGATAAGTATAAATTTTATACTTATCAAACATACGAAACTTGAACCTTTGTTCGCCCTAGAATAAAACATTCTAAATACTTAATTAGACTCTATATAATTATAATTAACTCGATATTAACAATTCAATGTTTCCTCGATGTACATATCAAATTAAACTGGTTAATGTGACACAAGAATTAAAAATTATCTCACAACTCCATATGTCGTATACCCAACTTTTGAGAGTGTGTGTGTGTTAATAATTCTCAATTTCACCGGTGCAACTTGAATCAAAGTATGTACTTCAACTGCCAAAGTCTCTTTTCCCAACCAACACAAAATCCTAATAATGTCAACTTTCAAAGTCAAACTAACATTGAGATTGAGCATATTTTTTCGTCATCTACTCAATCACCTTTCAATCCCAAGTTGAATTCAATTACTAATCTATAAATTCAGTTTAAAAAACTTTATTTCCTAGTAACGATGCCAAATAATTGTTCGTGTAAAGCCCACAAGAGAATAATTGTAGATAATTGACTAAGTGATCAAGGCTATTTTCCACAAGAGAGTTGAGACTTGATAGAAAGAGAGTTGAGACTTGAGATGAAAAAAATTGGGGATTAATGGGGTCATTTATAGAAGTGGGATTTTTTTTTTTTAAATTAAGTTTAGTGACTGTTAACTATCACTTTAAATATACGAGCTGAGTGGCTCGTGGCTCGCTTCTCACGAGAGCTCGCCCACAAGCGGCACAACGCTCCACCGGCTCGGCTCGTACTCGAGCTCTTATTTTTATGAGCTCGAGTTGCCCACGAGGACCGTTTTACAAGCCTCTCAGCCTGATTGTCATCCCTAAGTACGTGGGCCGCTAGTTTGAAAACTAAGGTCCACCCGTGGCCTAATTATGACTTTTACAGTTTAGTCCTCCAACTTTCCAAAACTTCTATTTTGGGCCTCAAATCTTTCCCTTTATCAAATTTTCATCCTTTATCTCATGAATTCATCCAATTGTTCCAATGACTTCTTCCAATTGATTAATTGTAACCTTAAATGGTCTTCAAGAGTTCGTACTAATCTTCATTTAAGCTCAAAATCTCCCAATTTGCACCAATTACTCTCAACCTCAATCTTTTCCTATAAATCACACAGTTTCACGAAATTAGGTAGCAATCCACTCAAGTTAATCATAATTTATCAAGATTAAAAGCATAAATAAGTGTGTAAAATTCACTTATCGGATTCTATCTCAGACGATGGTGTGGTAGGAGGGCGAGGAAGGTTGGAATAGGTAAGGGGTGGGTTGGAGAAGATTAATTTTTATTTTATTTATTGTTATTTTTGTCGAATATAGACCATTACATAATCACGTGAAGGACATTGATTAATTGTCAAATAGCTAGATTGGAGGAGCTTCCCTTTAATAAAAATTCTCCTCCATGGTTAAAAATTAAATAAACATAGAGTTTGTCTTACTAATTGTAACGTTTACAGAAAAATATCTATATGCAAAAAATCATAATTAACTCGAGATAAAGCAAAGAAAATATTTAAAAGTAATGACAAGAAGTAAAGAATAACTTAAACCTGCATATACATGAATTTATATTCTAAATAGAATAAAGAAAAGTACTTGTACCTTGCCCATAAGATTATATTTACTTTATGCTTGTTGTCTAATCATATGATTTAAGTATTTAAACTTCAGAGTCTATAAATAGAGTGCATGAATAAGATATACCACACACCTCTCCATCTAACTATAATATCTCACCCCACTCGTTCCGATTCCATCCCAAATTGAGGTTAAATGCTCTAGTTTTCCCAAGGATTTTATCTTCGGTGCTGCAACATCGGCATATCAGGTGTGTAAATTTTAGCGTATGTTTTAGTATATCCTATCAATCAGTATTGAACAGAAAAATGGTTAAGATTTTAGATTATTTTTAGTTTGACATCAGTGTCCTCTATTATGACGTACACCTAATCAAACATACTACTAATGTCTGAAAACAATGAAGGTTTTGCTTAAACTATCATCAGAATACAAGAGCACATATATATCTAAGGGATTTTGCGAGGGACCAACTAACTCAATCCTTTTCCTTTGTTATATGATCGTCAAAATAGTTATTTGTAATATTAGTTTATATAAGCCTGTCATTCTTCTCAATCATATGGATGCCACCCAAATAGAGGGCAAACGGTCTAAATCTCCAAGGAGTTTATCCTCAGTGCTATACCATCAGTGTATCAAGTATGTAATTGTTATATTTTAGTATGTTGTATGTGGTGGAATTAGACGACAAAATGGACAATTCTTTAGCCTATGACTATTGCTTCGTTAATATTTTCCAACTCTATTATACATTATCAGACATTCCATTGTTATTGAGAAGAATAAAGTTTCTAAAACCATCATTAAAATGCGTGAGTACATATGTCAAAAGGTTCATTAACATGTACTTTGATTCTTGTTTTCTTCTTAAAACTTGGATATATAATTTATTTTATGGGCTTTATATTTAATACTGCAGATCGAAGGAGCTTGGAATGTAGATGGTAAAGGCAGAAGTATATGGGATTATATGACACTGCATGAACCTGGTCTCTCTCTCTCTTTCTGGTTTTTTAGTACGTGTTTGTACTAATATAGATTCCAACATAATTTTACATCGAACAAATTATAAAATAGTCAACCAACATATAAGAATTTAGGCTAGTCTTCATAACGAGGTTGACAATTCAAGATGAAAATATCTTTTTTTAATATTGTATCAGAGTTCAATAAGTTCAAACAAATAATTCCATCTTTCTGAAACTTTCAAACAAGAGTTCAAATTTGAAGATTGATGTTTTCAAATAAGTCACTATAAGTTACAGATGCTTGTTAAGCATATAATACCACAATACTTATATATAAAGCATTAATAAACACAAGGATTTATGCTACCCCTTTAACAAAGTTGATACATTAAGATGAAATTAAAAATAGCTGTAGTAGACCCATATGCATGTATTAATTTATCCATACACAAGACCGTCTTTTACACTACGATCATTATTTAGCATACATTTATGCTTATTAATTGGAGTGGCAGATAGCATTGCGGATGGTTCAAATGGGTGCATCGCTCTCGATCACTATAATAGGTTCAAGGTAAATGTACTTAGCTATTTAACTTTTCATCGTACAAGGTGATGATAATTCATTTCGTGGAGTTATTATAAAAGGAACTGTAACTAAAATTGAAAGAATATTTCCCTTAATTTCAGTTGAGGCTTACTTTGAATGAAAAAAGGTTGCCCGTTTTAACTATTTTCTGTATCAGAATTCCGTATCAGTTCGAGCATTAAGCGACGCATTTATCTAGGCCCTCATGTTTAATTGAAGTGCCAAATTTTAAACTTTTACCACTTTTCTGCTAATTGATATCAAAATAAAATCTCATGTCCGACTTTAAACAGATCTGAGCCTTGCCCCCAGGGCACATCTCCAAGTGGTAAAAGGGGAGGGTGGAGAAATCCAGCTTTGCTTGAGGCTGCTGCGTCAAGGGTTCGAATCCTGAAATATGAATTTGGCTCTTGGGTAAGTGTAAGTGTACAAGCAGCTTTCCACCCTGTACTCTTAGAGACATAACTCCAGGGCAGGGGCGGTGGAGGGGGGCCTTAAGGTTGGGGTTCAACCTTTTGATATCAAAATAAAAACTCAACATTTCTAAGAAAACCTACCTCCATCCCCTTAAAGTTCCTTTACTCATCCATTTTCAAATATTTTATCTCTACGTAGTTAGAAATTAGCATCACGAATCTGAGGCTTGAGATACTTGTTCGTTGACAAAATGAAGCTCTCAAAAAAATTTTAACGACTAATAAGAGGAGTGAAAAATGAATTGAACGAACGGCTTTAAACGATTGAATAACTCTTTTTATCGTGTAAGTGCAAGAAAATTTTGTCGCCAGAATTTGAATCAATAAATTCATGACCTTTATTTGGAACACAACTTTCAAAATGAGTTGATACATTTTTAGCATTTTGAAGTCAAATATTTCAGTCCTGGAAAAACAGGTAGAAACAAATTTTTTTTCTCCATTATATATACCGGATAGTACTCTAATTTAAGCCACAAAGAAAATTGTTATATATATATATTGTAAATTGTACTCATTTTCTATAATATTGCAGGAGGATGTGGCTCTGATAAAAAAAGTTGGCTTAGATTCTTATAGGTTTTCAATTTCATGGCCGAGAATCTTGCCAGGTATTGGACTCTATTTCAATAAAATTAGAAAAAGGGATTTTTATTTCAATAGTGGCACAGCAAAGATGTAGATTTTTTGCATTACTTAATTTGTAAAGGAAATTTTTTTAATGTAATTTATTTTTTAGGCTACAGTAATGTTTTCCACTCAAAAATTTTAATGGATGTAGTGTCCTTTTATAAAATCCTTAATAGGCAAAGTGGAGGAGATTCCGGACATGCAGATTTTATTGTCGACATCAAAAAGTAGGACTATGATGTTTAAATGGACTCAAAAGCCTCATCAAACTTGCCTAGTTTTTATGTCGAAACTCATGGAAAATGAAAAGAGAATTTCAGTAAAACTATTAATGAGAAAATGATATCTTTAGAACAAATGAAAATATTTTTTTGAAAATCCGAGGTCATTTACAAAGTGAGAAGCAGTCTCTTACATGACCTCGCCAAGTTTATTATCAAGTAAATGTTCCTTGTTTTTAGTTTCATTTGTGTATAAACATTGATATTTTAGGAGGTAGACTATGTGGTGGAGTAAGCAAAGAAGGAATCAAATACTATAATGTTCTAATAGACGCACTTTTGGAAGAAGGTTAGACTATGTTCCCATGTTTATTGTTTCTTTATTAAACTGATTTATTCTAATTTAATTAATACATAATTACAAGTTCAAAATCTAAAGATATTATGTACCTTGTATTTTACTAATTACTTTTATGTAGGCATTGAGCCATGTGCAACTCTATTTCACTGGGACGTTCCCCAATGCTTGGAAGATCAATACGGTGGCTTCTTAGATCATCAAATTGTGTGAGTAACTTGATCTTGCATCGAAGGGAACATCTTGTGCTAGATATTTAAGAAAGCAATTAAGCAAAGTTATTTTCTTGTATTGAAGGAAAACTCAGAAATGTATTCTTTAGAGAAAATGGATATTAATAAGCAATAGAATACTGCTAGATTTATCTCTTGTACAAAGATTAATGTCATAGGTGAATATTTTTTACAATCTGTTGGTATATCACACGTGTGTTGACATTAACTTGTTCACATTGATATTATAGGGAACATTTTTGTGAGTTTGCTGAGATTTGTTTTTGGGAATTTGGTGATCGAGTGAAACGTTGGATCACACTGAATGAGCCATGGTCCTTCAGTTATTGTGGATATGTTGGAGGTAGATTTCCCCCTCGTCGAGGAAAACCTCTTCCACCTCCGGAGGAACGTGTTATGGGCGAACAGGGTGGTGCAACTTCAGCGGAACATGTGATGAGTCGCCTAGGTGCAACATCAATGGAACAATTGTTGCGTTCCTTGATCCTTCAACATAGAAGTGCAGTGCCTCCACTTATTACCCCCTCAGAAAGTGATCCGGTAACTGAAGTATTAGCCATGGTAACCAATTTGCCTGCTTACTTGAATGAAATTCGGGGCACAGAACCATCTGCTATGCCACAAAATTTTCCCTACTTCTTGAGAGAAATTCTAAGAACAGAACCATTTGCTATGGCACAAAGTTTTCCTCGTCTTATGTCCTTGATAAAAATGCTGGGCATAGAAGTATTTGGCATGGAAAAAGATTCACTTTCCATGGAAGGAGATCCGGGCAGAAAACCATATATTGTGGCACACTATTTAATCCTTGCTCATGCACATGCAGTTGATATATACAGGAAACATTATAAGGTTTTCATTTTGACATTTCACACACACACACAAAAACAGAAATATATAACCATCTATATCTATATAGACACATTTTTGAGATTTTATAATAATTAATCGAGTATAAATACTAATATATCTGCATCTACAGAAACACCAAGGAGGCACAATTGGGATGACAAATGTTTCTACGTGGTTTTATCCACTTAGGAACACTCCAGAGGATGCAGAGGCTGCTTCTAGGGCAGTTGATTTTATGTTAGGATGGTAATTTGTGCATGTGTCCTTTTTCGAGAATTCATCAGATATCATTTCGTAAAATTTCATGCTGTAACAGATAATCATAACTATATTTTTTCACACAATTCTCCTCTCTCAGGTTTGTAGCCCCTGTAATAACAGGTGATTATCCACCATCCATGAGAGAAAATGCAGGAGAACGTCTTCCCATATTTAAACCAGACGAAGTCAAGCTAGTGAGAGGTTCATGTGATTTTTTAGGCATAAATTATTATACGACTTATTACGCCAAAAATGTACCTAAAAGTACTTCTTCACCACCACATTATGACAACGAACGGCACGTTGAAAATCATAGTAAGTACTGAGACCTTTTATTAAGTTCAGTTATAATCTTTTATCTTGACATAAATTGGACACTAGTAACAAGCTATTTACTTCTCATTGTTTTGTAGCTCATCGTAATGGGGTGCCGATTGGTCCACGGGTGAGCCATTAACATTACCCTTCCCTTGGAAAAATAAAATAGAAAATGGAATGGGTTATTCTAACAATTAAGGCATATCAACAATTTAGAGCGATGCATTATCATTTTCATATATAGACTCATAATATATAGGCACAATGAATTGAAATACATATTATTGTTTGCATAATTTTCGATGCTTACATATAATCTAACGTGATAATAATCCCTCTATCACTTATTAGGGTGGTTCGATGTGGCTGTACATAGTTCCAGAGGGAATATTCCATCTCATGCTTCACATAAAGGAAAAATATAATAATCCTGAGATTTTCATTGCAGAGGATGGTTTGTAATCTTGTTTACTACTTTATTTATATATAGCAAGTATATATGTAATAATTACTTCTTTTTGAGATTGAAATCCTCCACAATCTTTTGTAGGGGTGGATGAAGTGAACGATAAAACCATAACAATTTCAAAAGCTCGTGTTGACGAAATAAGGATTAAGTAGCACAGGGACCATCTCGCATTCCTTAAAAAAGCGATGGAGTAAGTCATCATTTGGTTTGCATATATGGTAGTTCTATTCGAAAGAAAATTGTTATTTTTAAAATTAATTGACTACATTTCTTTCATTTTCAGACATGGTGTACGTGTGTAGGGCTACTTCATTTGGTCATTTCTTGATAATTTTGAGTGGACCCAGGGATACAATGTTAGATTTGGAATTTTTTATGTCGATTTCGAGGTTGGACGTTTGACAAGATTCCCTAAATGTTCAGCTGTTTGGTGGATGAATTTCCTCAACAAGCCGAAGAGTCCATGGAATAAACTTCCCTGGAAGCTACAGGATGTCAAAACTGACGAAGAACAACAAAGTCCTGTGAAAAGGCTAAGATGTGACAATGTTTAAAATTAACAACTACTGCTTCCTTTTATTTATTCCGAAATGTTCTGCTAAATAATGCAAGCATGTATACATGTTTGATGTTCCTTTATTTTCTTCCCTAATTCTCTCATGGAAGAGAAATAAAGCAGTTTTTGTAATTTGTAGTTTATGTCAAATAAATGGAATCCTTGGAGGCTCCAAGTGTAATCCTCATGTTTTCAGTTCATCCAATAAAAGATTTGAGAATGACTTACTTCGGTTCTAGTTAAGTACTATAATATTCTCCTGTTCTTTTTAATTACTGAAAGTTGCAGCTGCCCTCCTAACTTTTGCGACATGTATAAATAGATATTGTGCGTTCACATTTTGGTAGCATGATTCTCCATCTTTTAATACTGTAATAGCAGAGAACTTTATTTCAGTTCCTACCTAATCTTTCAATCATTTAGTTAACCTTCTAATTGCCATAACATCTTCCTTTATTTTAATAAAATTTGTGGCCGCATGTAAAACCCTCTTAATTTTGTATTTTCTTTTATTTCATGTTCTATTTTTATGAAAATTTTGTTTACAAAATTCACCTCTTTTAATATTTTCTTCCTCGAAAAGATGTTGAGCAGGCATCTCATGATCTTCCATATGAGTCCTATGAAGAATGGAATTTTTCCCTTTTTATTCCATTCACGGCATGCAACATTATTTTTCCTTTCTTTTCTTTGGTCGCTGCTTTGTTTTTTTCAATTCATTCAATCATTTGTTGGAGGAAAGTAGGGTTTACTAATTTGGATTGGCTAAGACTTTTAAAAAGGACAACGCTAATAGGAAGAAAGAAGTGAACAAAAGGAAACTTGTATTTCTCTAAAAACCAAGTTAAAATAATATAATTAATTAAAATGGTCAAAACCAAAACTTTAGTCAAATGCGTCAAGCAAAAAAAAAAAGGAAAGAAAAATGACAAAACAATAAAATAATAATAAAGTAGCTAGGCGATGGAAAACAAACAAATCCATTACACTCCAAATTTTCCAAATCCATTATTCAATACACACACAGAGAAACGAGAACAGGAAGAAAGAAAGAAGGGGGGAAAATAGAAAAATTTCGTCCACATCTAGAAAATAAGTTCTTCTACTATTAGGCTTGAATTTTTCAAAGATAAAGGTAAGTAAAAAGTTATTTATTGAAAATTTATGTTTAAATAGTTGTTAGATTGTTAGATTAAATTCAATTTTATTGAAAGGATAAAGTATAATAAGCTATGAAATTGAGGTAAATGAAAGAAAAACTAGTTTTGGTGATTAAAAAGACTTTAGAAATTGCTTAAACGTGAAATGATTAATTTTAAGTATCGCCTATTTAATTATTGAGATTACTTAAAATAGTTAATTGTTAATTTAAAAATTATATCATATTTTAGGCGGCGATACGGATACCGGGATAACTTACCAACCGAGTTGATTTTGCGAACATAGTTTTGTGAGTGGAAAAAAACTTAAATATTTTCAAGCATTGATAAATTAATTATACCAATACATTATGTGCATTTATATGTTCGATTACATAATTATTTTGGAAATATTCTTTCATTGTAATATTTGTGGAATTCAAAGATTAGATATGAAAATATTTGTGATTTGGAATGTGAGACATGTGATATTGAGATTGACCAAAAAATTACCTGTGATTATATATTTCTTCTAGTTCACTGAGGGGCCTTAGCCGTGTTCTATACTACACTGAGGGATCGACTGGGGATGAAGGGGTCATGACCGTGTACATATAGTTCATTGAGGGGCCTTAGTCGTGTTCTAAAATTAATTACCAGAGGTCTTGAGACCGGCTTTCGTTCACGAAGGGGGCCAAAGGCCCATGGCGAAAATTCTTAGCCCAAGGGGCAAATTACAGACTTTAATCAGAGTGTACATTTTTGGTGGATCACATGTGATGTGATGAGATGATGGTATAGATATTAGCTGATGACTATATCATGATTATAAGATGATATTTTACGACCTTATGAGAATGTCTCACTGTTTTGCTATAATTGTATGAGTCTGTCATGTGAATATTAAATGATATGAACTTGATATTTGGTAAAAATATTTGGTAATTATTTTTGAACTCTTCCACTCACTGAGCTGTCAACTCATATTTTTCTAAAATTATTCTTACAGGTAATATTGATCATTGATAACTTGAAGAGTTTGGTGATTTAAGAGTTAGAGCCGCATGATATATTGAGTGATATGATTCATTTTGGTAAAATATGAATTAACTATTTCGGGCCCATTGCACTATGTTTTTATAAACATTTAATTTTGTAGCATATTTCGTAGTAACTCATGGTTAGCCTTGGTGGTGGATCTAGCATCTAATCAGCATCTACCACTGGCGCACATCTTGTTTCGGGTCCATAGTGTGATTCGGGACGGGTTGTCTCAATTTCTCAACTACAAGACTTACACACTTTTGGCTTTTTACAAAATGGAAGATCTTACCCCTTTATATAATATTTATATGAAACTTCTAGTCCACACAATTTTCTAGAGACTCCTGGACCACATATTTACATGAGACTTTTAGACCAAATACTTGGACAATATATTTTTCTAGAATTCTCTTGATAGACTTTATGAGACCACATAATCTTATTGACACATTACCACATTTATCATACCATATTTTATTTTAATATTTATATAGATTTTTTCAGACAATGTTTCTAGAAATGCTAGGCATGTTGGGCTTTTTAATTGATTTGGGCCTATGGGCAAAATCCTTAAGCCCATATTATTTAGTCCAAAAATCAAATTTACTGCTCAACATCCCCCCTTAAACTTGATTTTACTACTCCAAGTAGAGTTCTTAACTTGTGGATCATGTCATGCTTGAGTGACTTTGTGAGAATGTCGGCGATTTGCTCCTGGAATGTTACATATTTCAACTGCACTTCTTTCTTTGCAATGCTTTCTCTTATGAAATGATATATTGTATCAATATACTTGCTTCTATTGTGGAATTCTAGGTTCTTTGCCAATGCCAATGCCGATTTGTTATCAACGTGGATTTCGGTAAGTTCTTCTTGTGGAACTCCAAGCGTCTTCAACAAGTTTCTAAGCTAAATCGCATGACAGACACTTGATGTAGCTGCAACATATTCAACTTCACATGTAAATAGTGCTACGATCGATCTCTTCTTTGAGCTCCAAGTGAAAGCTGTGTCGTCCAAGTAAAACACATACCCAGTCGTATTCTTTCTATCATTACTGTCTCTGCCCCAATCGCTGTCACTATATCCAACAAGTTTGAATTCATTAGATGATGAATAGACCAAGCAATAATCAAGCGTACCTTTGATGTAGTGAAGAATTCTCTTTGAAACTTTCATATGGGTAATGGTAGGTGTCTCTATATAGCGACTGATGAGTCCAACTCCAAAAAGGATATCTGGTCTTGTACACATCAAGTATCTTAGACTTCCAACAAGACTATTCAAAAGTGTTAGGTCTACTTTTTTACCTTCATCATTCTTCAATAACTTGGTTCCGCATTCGACGGGAGTGCATACAAGCTTGCAATCCTCCATATTGAATTTCTTTCACATACCCTGCTTGTGAGATAAAGATGGAATCCTCTATTTGCTTTACCTCAATCTCAAGATAGTAGGCCATGAGGTTGATATTCGTCATCTCAAATTTTTGAACCATGGCCTTCTTAAACTCAATGATCATACTTTAATTATTTCCTGTGAATATAAGATCATCGACATACAAACAAACAAGCAAAATATCTCCTTTTTCATTTACCTTTGTGTAAAGGGCATACTCGTGAGGGCATTTTGTGAAGTTATTTTCTTAAAAGTACTTGTCAATTCTACTATTCCATGTCCTTGGAGCTTGTTTCAACCCATATAAGGCCTTTTTTAGTTTTAAGACTTTACCTTTATGTCCTTTTATTTTGTAGAACATTGGTTGCTCCACTAAAACTTCTTCTTCAAGATAACCATTTAGGAATGTAGATTTCACGCCTATTTGAAAAATATCTTCCACTTATTTTGCACTGCAAGGGAGATAATAAATCTTATGATTTTTAAATGAGCAACATGGGCAAATACCTCTTCATAGTCGATTCTTGACCGTTGGTTGTAGCCTTTGGCAACCAATCTTGATTTGTATCTTTCTACTTTTCCTTTAGCGTTTTTTTTTTGTCTTGTACACCCACTTAACTCCGATTGCTCTTTTTGGGAAGAGTCGTCAACTCCCATGTGTCATTCTTCTCAATGGCCTTAATCTCTTCATCCATGGAATTTCTCCATATTTTATTTAGCGTCGCTTCTTCATACCCTATTGGCTCACAATTGACAAAAAGACAAAAAAGTGAGATCATTCTGATTTTCTGTTACCTCATATAGCTCTTGTAGGCTCCTTATCCTTGGTGTCCTTTCGCTTGAGCTTTTTTCTTGTAAAGATGATGGGAAAGCATCTCCATGAGTAGGTGATAGAGGTGGACTGATAAGCTCTTGCTACTCTCCATTCTCTTGTTTTTCTTCCTCAAAGAATGGCAAAAAGTCGTAGTCTTGTTCTTGGACACCCAAATCCCAACCTCCTTCTTCATCAAACTCGACATCTCTACTTATGGTGATCTATTCCTTGCTTGGATTATACAACTTGTAGCCTTTAGAGAGAGAGAGTCATAGCCGATAAAGACATACCTTTCGCTTTTGTCATCTAACTTGGACTGCTTTTGATCTGGTACATGAGTATATGCAATGCTCCCAAATACTCATAGGTGAGAGATGCTGAGCTTTCTTCCACTCCATGCCCCTTGTGGTGTCTTATTCCACACACTTCTAGAAGGGGATCGATTAAACAGATACAGGCACAATTATCAGCTTCAGCCCAAAGTTCTTTGGGCAATTACTTACTTTTGAGCATGCAGAGGGAATGTTAAGAATGGATCTATTGATTCTTTTAGCTACTCTATTTTGTTGTGGAGAGTATAGAATCGTCAATGGGGGACGAAGTCCATTCTCCTCACAATATTTCTCAAACTCTTGGGAGGTGAATCCTCCTTCTCTATCTGATCTCATGGCTTTTATGCTATAACCACTTTCTTTTTCAACAAGAACTTTATACCTTTTGAAAGTTCTAAAAACTTCAGATTTTTGTTTAAGAAAATAGACCCAAGTCTTTCTACTAAAATCATCAATAAGAAGAGCAAAGTAATTGTTCTTACTAAAAGAGCTTGGATTGA